GCCTCCATTTCCCCTTCTGTGCGTTCACTTGCGTCCCATTGGAGTTGAACACGCATATCCGTCCAGACGATGATTTTCCGAAACGAACCTGGCACTGGTCCGAGAGAGCTTGTAAGAAGTGCGAAAATGGGAGATACCATATTTGATGTAATGTTCGTTCTGGAAGGCGAGATGCTGGCGGTTTGTTTGCACATTTATGGGCTCAGATCGTTTGCGCCATTTTGGTAGATTTCCCTGCCCAGTCGAAACTGCTGTAATCTCGGACGACGTTCTTGGTATATACTTGTTTCACATGGAGGACATGACGGACGTGAGTGACAGGCTGGTGGGCGCAGGGGTCTACCTTGTAATTGCCCAAATCCACGTGACACTTCCCAAAGTGGTGAGACGATGGGCTCCACTCTGCGGTCTTCGCTCAGTGTCTTGACGTTTACTCCGTGCGCCGTTGAGAGAGATCTGCCTGCGTCTGCTCTTACCTGGTTGAGCCTTTGGCGTATTTGACAAACGTCTGTATATACACGTCAGTAATTCATAACCAGGAGGCCCTATTTAACTAGCATTTTCACACATCCTTCACACCGGAAGCAGTCGAAATCGAGTCCCTCTCCCACCGGTGGCTTCGAGACACATGTCTCAGGCTTACCGTCCCGCAAATGTGGCATTATGACCAGCGGAGAAGATAAAAAGGAGGAAAACACCGATAGCAATTCTTCTGTGCAACAGCTCTCGAGTCACGAGTCGACTCCTGCCGCAGCTGCTGCCGAACCCGAGCTCGATGACTTTGGCTTGCCCAAAAGACCGGTGAGGGTCAACCAACCCACAGACTCGGACGATAGTAGTGATGATGATCACGATACATTCCATGATGCCGAGGTGCCTGCGGACAAAACGGGCACAAGCGAGGGGGACACCAAAGAGGTTATTGGCGAGTCGCAGCAGAAAGCGGAAGAGCATCCAGGATTAGTGGACAAAAGCAACCAGCAATCGTGTCCTCCGGAGGCGCCTACAAAATCAGATGGAACCGCAATAGGTACGGAGATGAAGGATAGCAAGAAAGATCAAGCTATTGGAGAAGAACAGAGTCTCGAGACAAAATCTGCAGACAGCATTCCACCGCTAGACACAGCATTGAAGTCCGACACGAAGCAGGACGAACAATCAGCTGATAGTGCAATATCTCCGTCTGCATCTCGAATATCTGGCACCGTCATCCCGAAGCGGAATTCACGATCCAATGCTGCCACAGCCTCCGAATGGTCCCATCAAAGGCAAATTGCGGCCGCGAACCGATCGGACGACGAAGATGAGGAGGAGGAATGGCAGCCAATGCCGGCCATCGATGAGTTTGATATCTTTGATGATAATGGACGTCTCGTGGCGAAAGGTCACAGGGAAACCGAGAAAGAGGCAAATCCTTACGCGGGCATTGGCGGTGCTGGGAAAGGTTATACTAGGGTTCAGCTTGATGAAGATGCACAATCAGCTACAAGTCTAGACGAAGACACGAACTACCTTTTTCGAAATGGCCAAAAGGCGGAAGACACGGAAAACAAGGATGACGAGGATGATGATGAGCAGCGGGATGCTCTCAGTCAACTGCAGGCGACCAAAGACCTCCTGACGGAGGGCCAGCGGATAGCCTACGTCGGCGTGGTCCGTTTGACAATTCACAAAATGTTTTCAGCACTGGGAGACCTGGAAAGACCAAAATCTGTGCGGAAAGAACTGATGAGGTCTCTGGAGAACATGGATATGTGGGGCCAAAAGATGATGGTTCGGTTGTACTCTCATATGGACATCAACCAGGCGGAGCAGATAATGATCGAACAGCTCGCCGAACATGGGGTGCAGCCTTCTGACCTCGTTGCTCCTCTCATGCTGAATGCGAAAGTGAAGAATCCAATGGCCGACGAGACTGCAACCGAGACTTCGAAGCCAGACAGCTCACGAAATAGAGATTCGATGACTTCTGCCGCCTCCTCGAAAGGGGACGCTGTTCCTTTGAAAGAGGTGAAGGAGGGCGAAGATGTCCCTGAAGTCCACGGTCCGGAAGACATGCCTCACACCAAGGAGATCGAGCTCGATTTGCGGTGGACTGTCTTATGTGACTTGTTTCTGGTTCTGATTTCGGACGGTCAGTACGACTCTCGATCGAGACGATTACTTGAAAGGGTTGGCTCGACAATGGATATTAGCTGGACACAGATATGTCGTTTTGAGAAAAGGGTGATTGATGCCCTGGAAATGCAAGAAGAGGAAGCCAAAGAGAACTGGGATGAATCCGAACACATGGAAAAAAGACGTAAACGTGCACTCAAAAAGAAATACATGGTCATGGGTCTTGCAACTGTTGGCGGCGGGCTTGTCATTGGTCTGTCTGCAGGTTTACTCGCACCCTTCATTGGCGCAGGTCTGGCAGCTGGTTTCACGACCATTGGTGTCACCGGTACCGCAGGTTTTCTCGGAGGGGTGGGTGGAGCGGCCTTGATCACTTCTGCTGCCACAGCTGCTGGTGGCACGATTGCGGTTCGAGCTGCGGATCGACGGACTGGCAGCGTCAAGACGTTTGAATACCGACCGCTGCACAACAATAAACGGTTGAACCTTATATTGACGATTTCTGGCTGGATGACTGGCAAAGTTGACGACGTGCGGCTGCCTTATAGCACAGTTGATCCTATCATGGGCGACATCTACTCGTTGCTTTGGGAGCCAGAAATGCTTCAGTCGATGGGTGACACTATCAATATCCTTGCCACTGAAGCTTTGACCCAAACTGTGCAACAAGTTCTTGGGAGCACGATATTAATCACCCTCATGGCATCAATACAGCTGCCAATTGTGCTTTCTAAACTGGCCTACCTCATCGACAATCCCTGGAGTGTATCCCTCGACCGAGCCACGGCTGCAGGTCTAATCTTGGCCGACTCATTGATCGACAGGCACCTTGGTCAGAGACCAATCACGCTGCTAGGCTTCTCTCTCGGTTCAAGAGTCATCTTCTCCTGTCTGAAGGAGCTGTCGAACCGTGGAGCATACGGCTTAGTCCAGAATGTCTACATGTTCGGGTCGCCTGTCGTTGTCAGCAAAGATGACTACTTACGTGCTCGGTCTGTTGTATCGGGGAGGTTCTTGAATGGATACGCTTCCAACGACTGGATTCTTGGATACTTGTTTCGGATGACGTCGGGCGGTATCATGCGAGTTGCTGGCCTTGCACCCGTCGAAGGAATTCCAGGAGTGGAGAATATTAACGTGAGCACATGGGTTAAGGGCCACATGGCTTATCGTGCTGCTATGCCACGGCTCCTACGAGAAGTTGGATGGGAAGTCGAGAGCGACGAATTTACCGAGATCGAAGATCCAGATCCCGAGAATCACGCGCAGCGGCAGCGAGAACTCATCATGGAGATCGACGAGGCCAGAAAGAAAGCTGAAGAGAAACCCGACAAGAAACGTTTCGGCATCTTCAAACGAGGGAAACTAGCCGAGAAAAAGGGTTGGGAGAGATACAATGCCAACGACGCCAGCCACAAGCGGAACGCCAGTACCTCTTCTACCGAGCCTGGTGCTAACGGTGATATCAATGTCTTGTTTGACGTCGATGCAATCCGAAGAGAATTAGCGAGCGAAATGATCGAAGTCAGAGAGTTGGACAGCACCCTTCCGCCCATGCAAATAATGTCCGTCAAGGACGGGGAAAAACACGTTGAATACTTGCGCCTCCCACCTGGAATGAAGCCCGAGGAGGTTGCGAGGCTGAATCTCCCGCCACGTCCGGACGAGATTGACGTCTCTTTCGCGCCTGTTCAGCAGCCTACTCCAATTCGCCCTGCAAGGTCGTCATCTTTGCGACCCGCGTCTATAGCAAGCCCTCAACGGTCTCCTCGTATAAGCCCCCAAAGATCTCCTCAACGATCTCCGGACCCGAACAGGCGGTTGTCCTACGCCTATTCAGAGCCAAGGGATCTAGCCAGTCCACCGCCAGCTCTCAGTGCTACGCCTTCTGCTTCTCCTCGACCGGAGGCTTACCACGCTCCTACGGACGCCGTTCGACCGGATCTCAAACCGCGTGTGACCGACTCTGCTATACCAAGTTGGGGTCGCCCATCGACACCATTTGACGATGGAGTTGCTCCGCCAGTACCGAAGCTAGATTTGGAACGCAATGCCTGGGCTGATGACGATGACGAGTTTGGGCATAACCGTGGCGAGATCAGTATGACGTTCGAATAAAGTACCAATAGACTCGACCACGGTACAAAACAAGGAACGGCTTTTATTGCATAGCGAGGCGCCGGATAAGGGGGTTATCTCGAATGGTCTCAAGGTATAGGACCCAAAAGAGGGGCACAGTACGCATTATCATTGATGCAGCACCTCGTTGGCTTTTTGCAGAATGCTCAGATATTAATTTCCCTCTGTGATCTCAGATTCAGGATGTCCAATCTGTCTCTGCCACTTTCCATGACGACAGGTGCCCAGAACAAATTGTCTATTCTTGATGCCCCTGTCGTTTCGGCCGCAATTCCTTTTCAGCCGCCGCCTTGGATCCCATTTCTGCTCTGGCTGGCATCGAAAGGTCATCCCCGACTGCCTTGGTGCACCGAAATCTGTTTCTTTGTTTGTTTTTCCCCGAAACCACGCACAGGGAACAACGAGCCCGTCTTGCCTTGGGGTGAAGGCATTGGCGTCATTGTCGTTCGATGAGTCTTTATCGACAGGTAAGACATTGTCTATTCACCCAGTTCTTCCTTTGAACAGAAGCAGAAACGAGGCAGGATGTCGTATGTGTACCCGGATTCGTTCCCTCCACAGATAGCTATCAATTGCCTTATGACTCTTCTTATGCAAGGCGGTGGGAGGTTCAAATACAGGCTCTCAAAGCTCAGTCATTTCTGTTCTGTTCTTCCTTCCAACGAACACACCCATCACTCTCCCTGTTCATACTGGTAATGCGAATTTCCATCCCTAACCTAACCACGCAAGCCGAACACAGCATGACTGCTCCATCATACTGGACGCGCCCCTGGGCTGTCGTCCCGCACATGAACTCCCTCTTCCTCTTCTTGTTCCTATTCCGGTACCTGAGGTTCGTCGTCCATCTGGCAAGTTTCTTCCTCTACCGCCCGTCTCCCACTGCACGGTTCCCATCGCTGACAGAAAGAGACTGCACAGTCATCCTTCCCACCTGCGCGCCCGAGGACCCTGCCTTTTCCCGATGTGTCGAGTCGGTCGTGAGGGCGTCGCCCTCGGCCATCCACATTGTGGCTGTGGGCAAGGGGCAAGAGAAACAGGTATGGGTGACCATCTTCCCGCTCATCAGTCGCTTCCCCGGCGTCTGCTTCAGAGTCTCATCTATCGCCCAGGCAAACAAGCGGCACCAGATCGCAGCGGCCCTGCCGGCCGTCGGCACCCCGATCACGGTCCTTTGCGACGACCATGTGATTTGGCCCTCGCCGCACATCCTGCGGGTGGCGGTCGCGCCGTTCGACGCCGACGCCCAGGTCGGCGGCGTGGGGACCAACAAGAGAGCGATCCGGCACCCCCACAAGGGCTCGTGGGCGAGGTTCTGGAACGTGCTGGGGGCGCTGTACCTCGAGCGGCACAACTTTGAGCACACGAGCTCCAACGCCGTCGACGGCGGCGTCGCCGTCATCAGCGGCCGGACGTGCCTCTACCGCACCAGCATCCTGCAAGACCCGGCCCTGCTGGCCCGGTACGTGGACGAGCGGTTCCTGTGGGGATTCTGCGGCCCGCTCAACGCCGACGACGACAACTTCCTGACCCGGGCCGTCGTCCGGCGCGGCTTCACCGTCAAGTTCCAGAACACGCCCGACGCCCTGGTCCTGTGCGACGTCGGCGAGTACCCAAAGTTCCTGGCGCAGTGCCTCCGCTGGGCGCGCACCACGTTTCGAAGCAACATGTGCTCGCTGGTCACGGACGGGGTGGTCGTCTACCGCGCCCAGCCCTGGTCGGTGTACTCGCTCCAGTTCAGCCTGATGGTCAACTTTGCGCTGTTCTACGACGCCGCACTGGTGTGGACGCTGATGAGCGGGGCATTCTCCCCTCCCACGATGCCGCAGCTTGTCCTTCTCGTCGCGTGGATCCTCCTCTCAAAGCTCCCCAAGCTCCTGCCCCATTTCCTCCGGCACCCGGCCGACCTGGTCTTCCTCCCGGGCTACTACGTCTTTGCGTACGCGCACTCGCTGATCAAACTGTGGGCGCTGCTGACGTTCTGGGACACGCGGTGGTCCGGACGGGATTTGGACGGCGTCAATCGCGTCGCGGCCGAGGGTGTCACGGACACTGATACTGATACTGATACTGACACTGTCACTACCGCTGGTGATACGAAATAGCCTACGAACAATCTTATTCGGAGATCCAAAGGGAGGCCTCGATCATCCACCTATGGATATGTATATCGACGGGGATCAGGAAGTTCACCTGGGGGCAAAATCAGTGATGCGGGAGTGTCGGGTGGTTTTTTTGATAATAGCCCATTCGAGCAGGAGGTGAATCGTCGTGCATACACAGGAGAGAGACTGCGACAAGGAAGGCATCGGAAGGAATAAGTGTGGCAGGACTGGACAGGAACAGGAGGGAGGGAAAAAGAAAAACCCCTTTTTGGAGGAGCCTCGCATATTAAGGCAAATCCTATCCTTGGACCCCAGGTGGCTATATTACCAAGAACGAGTCAAGTGTTTCCAATGCCAGGGATAAGTGGCGACATTGACGTATTTTCTGAGATCTCGAAGCAGTCCAAGATACCTCGTGTCCAAGAGTTGCTAGCGAAGCATTGTCCCCATTGTCATTGCATTCCTTGTACCGTGTATACCATGAGATACTAGATCCCTTTTATTTTATTCCGCCTGCAATGTCCAGAACGCCGCTGTAACCAGCTCATCCTCTCCATGTCCATGTCAGTATCAACCTCGCTCTCATGCTTGCGAGGCACCAACATAACTCCAAGTGCTTATACTATTACATGTCGTTCCGTAGCCTTGGCTCCGCGTGCTCTTAATAGATCCAAGACGTCACCGTGTCGAGATGGCTGAGATCCATTTCTGTTCGTCTTTCCTGTACAACTAGTCAGATTCAACCCCTCAGAGCAAAAGGAAGCGGGACAATGCCACGTGCAAACATACCGATCGAAATGTAGCAACATGCCCAGCACGGGGATCAATTGCCGCTGGTGTCCTTTGTCCTTCTGTTCGAGGAACTGCAATAGCACATTCTTCAAGTACACATAGTCGACCGTTCCTTGGCTCAGGCCGGCTGGTGCTCCCGTCGTGGTATTCGGGGTCTCGCTGCGACTGGTCGTCGTGGAGAGAATCCGTTCTTTGGGTGTCGGAGATCTCGCATTGGCGGAATCGATAGATGTCCTCGAGCTCGGCGCATTCGAATCGACTCGGCCCAGATTAGGTCTGCCCGGAATCCTGGAGTTTGCTTGAGCCGCCTTCAGTTCCTCGGTGAGATTCTTGTTGGCCTTTGTCAGTTTCTCAACCCTCTCTCTGGCTTCGTCGCCTATCCTCCGCAACTCGGCCTTCTGCGCGTCCAGTTCCCTGACCTGCCGTTCGCTGTCGTCCAACGCCTCCCTCAACACCGTCATTGCAGCTTTCACTTCCTCAACCTCCCTCGCCGCCCGTGTTGCACTTTGTTCTAGTTCTTCTCGCCTCCGCTTCCACTCCTTCAGCCTGCTCTCCAGCTCTTCCTTCTCATCTTCCACCACTTTGAGGGACCGTTGTGCATCACGGGCTTTGCTCCTCGCCTCCTCGACCTCGCGCATCATGCGTCGCTGACTGACGCTCGCCTCATCCTCCACTCGATCTCTCTCCTCGATAGCTGCGTCCATGCGTTCCTTCATCTCTCTTAACCGGGATTCCGTCCCTGCTGAAGATTGATCCAGCAGCATGCGCATGGTCTGTCCTTCGCGCGTACGTTCGGAGAGCATTCTCTGTGTTTCATTGAGCTCCTCTTCGAGGCTCTCGGCCCGCGTTGTGGCTTCTCGGGCTTGCATATTGAGTTCATGAGTCTGGTCGCGGAGAGATTGGACTAGCGCTTGGGAAGATGTGTGGAGGGCTGTTTTGAGCGAAATTTCGTCTTTCAGTTCGGAAATTTGACGGGCCTGAGCTGAAACTTGCTCCTCGAGATCGTTTAATTTTGTCTTGAGTGTCGTTGATTCTTCCTTTGCTTTCAAAAGGTCTTTGGTGAGTCGGTCTGACTGAGTGATAGCTTGTTCACGTCGGCTCTCCGCCGTCTGGAGATCGGACTGCGCCCTTTCAAGATCCTTTTCTGTCCTGGTCCTTGCATTGATCTCCTGCTCAATCTTCTGCTGGAGTTCTTTGATCTCATTGTCTTTGTCCCCGAGTCTCTTGCTAAGCCCCTTAAGCTCGGCTTTGATATCTTCGTGTCGGGCTTCGAGCCTGTTAAACTCTCCAGTCTTGTTTTTCAGATCATCCTTTGCGGTTGTGAGCTCTGCAACCTCATTACGCAGACTCCGCAATTCAGGTTGTGCTTTGGCGAGCAGTTCTTTGAGATCAGTGATATCTTTGAATCGGCCGGTTGCGAGTTGCTCAGAGGCAGAAAGATCGGTCTCCAGCTTGGAGCATCGTACTTTGAGTTCGTCGTATTGCTCAAGTATTTGCTTGTGTGCCTCTTCCTTGTCTGCGCCACTTGCGATGGCGGCTCGAGCTTCCAATAGCTCCTTTTCCAGTTTGTCCACGGCATCTTGGAGTTTGTTCTTCTGCGCTTGGGCATCCTTCAATGCATCACGAGCCTCGACGTGTTCTTCCCCTTGATGCAAGAGGTCGTCTCGCAATGTCTCAATCTCTTCTTGCAGCCCTTCTTGGTCTTTCAATTGTTTGGAAAGCCGCTGAATGGCGTCCTCTTTGGATGCTAACTCTGCCTTGAGCCCCGAGATCTCCTGTTCCAACTTGGAAACATCTACGCGGGCCTCGACATCATCTACTTCAGCCAGATTTTCAGACACTTTGACTGGGGTTGCACCTTCTGCTGCTTCGTCTGTAGCGGCCTGCGGTTGACCTTTGCCCTTCTTCTTTTTCTTGTTCTTCTTCTTCGATGCACCTGTGCCTGCTTCTGATGGTGCTGGAGAAGCCGTGACTGTTTCTGTAGGGGCCTTGTTAGAGGAAGCCCTTTGCAAGCCGAAATTCTCCGACAGGTATTGGACAACATCTTCGCGCGTCCGTAAGGTGTCAAGTGTAGATTTCGTCTCCGCATCAAGGAAACCAAGGACTTTGGTGGAAGGTCGTTGCGAATACTCGTCCTTGGTAGCTTGGATCTCGGCCTTCAGTTCAGTCACTGTTGCTTCAGCTTTGTCCAGTTGACTGCGCAGAGTATCCATGATCCCTTGCACGGTCGCAAGCTTCTTCTCGTTTGATGTGTTATCTTGGCTCTTTGCTGCCTCCTGTCTCTCTGCAGACTTGTACATTGCAAGTGTATCTTCGAGGTCCTTGACGATGGAGTCTTTCTGCGACAGCTTTTCGTTGAGCAATTCCGTATCCTTAGTTCTGGAAACGATCTGTTCTTCAAGTTTGGCATTTTTCGCTTCAAGCTCTCTGATTTGGCTCTCTAGGGATTGCACCTGCGAGACCGCCTCAAGTCTTCCTGCCTGCAGTTCGTCAATCTCCTTTTGTAATTCATCCGTCCTTGTGGTATTCGAGGCAGCCCTTGCCTCTAACTCGGTGACACAATTCTGCAGCTTATTCTTAATCTCGTCAAACTTGTCCTTCGCATCACGAAGACTGTGTAGCTCCCGAGTGGCAGTCTCTAGGCTCTCCACCATGCTTTCGGTCGATTCGCGAGCAACCTTTAGATCCCCTTGTAAACCGGCGACTTGTTTCTTCAGGCTTTCGACCTCTGCTTGACTCTCATGTAACTCGGCTTCCATCTTGGATTGTTCGGATTCGAACGAGAAGAATTCTTCCGAGGTTTCTTTTGGTGGAGACATTGCCTTGTGTCGAGGCGAGAATAACGAGAAGCTCGCAATCCGGGAAGTGGTACTCGAAGGTGATTTGGCAGTGTTTTCAGAATCCGCCGCCTCCTTCAGGGACGAGTTGTCGCCAGTTGTAACAATGTGCGGACTACCTATGGAAAAGTTCTTCTCCTCAGATGTCTTCTGTTGAGACAACGTCTCGACCTTGTTCTTCAACGTGCTGATTTCTTCTTGCAGCCCCTTGGACTCGTCCTCTGCGGCCTGGAATTTCTTCTTGTAGTCGTCCCTGTCAGACGTGACTCGTTTCAACTCATCCACGACCATGTCGCTCTTCAAATTGATCTGATTCAGATACTCGACCAAAGCGCCGGGGTCGTTGATACTCGTCAAGGGGGTGTTCTCGCGCAGTGAGGCTTCAAAAGCATCGACGGCCTGTATCCGTCCATGGGCTGTTCTATAAGCTTTCAACAATTCTGCGTATTTTGACTCCATCCGATCCAGCCTGCGTAGCTTTACCCGCACCTCGGTAGGGAGGTCTTGAGGACGTAAGGAGGTAGCGGCGGTGCCATTGGCATCTGACACTTTGCTGTCAACGGACCCCACGAGGGTTTGTGTGTCCAGTCCATCCTCGGAAGCGGCCGTGTCTTTCTCCTTGCCTTGCTCTTTCTCCTTCTCCTTGCCATTTCCCTCAGGCTTCGGGGTGGCGGCCCTGCTGGGAACCGCGCTCTCATCGTCTCCGATCGCGAACTCTGGTTCAAACTCTGAGGGATCGGGGCCTTTGTCGGTCGAGTCATTTGTCTGCTGTTCTCTCAGCCTGGAGCTGGCGCGCTGGCGGCTGCCATTCTGAGCTTGCGGGCGCCGTTTCTGCGGAGCCCTCGTCGTTTGAGCGCTGTTGGCAGCCTGACGTTGTCGCGCTTGCTCTTCCGCAATGTGGCTGTCGATGACGCCCTTGAGACGCTATTATTGATGCGGTCAGACTCCCCAGTTCACATCGTCCAGTTGGCAGACATACCTGAAACATCTCCAGCTTTGCGGTATTGCTAACAACTGACCACAGGGCAGATAGGAGCCAAGTTCATCGACAGTCGATAGTCAACGCAGCAAGACGCTCGAAATATCGCGAACTCCGCAATCTGGGTCGCCGTTAAGGCGGGTCAGCCCAGGGTCGGAGTGGAGAGAGTTGGAGATGACAACTAAGTCCAAACGGTGTTGCTTTGAGAATTTCTTTCCTTGTTCATCACACAGAAGGATCCTAAACACCTCGCTGTCGTCACACATCTACTATCTATCTGGGCCTACGAATGCGTTGGTGAGATATCTGAGAATGCGTGGTCCCCGTGTCGTGCCAGTGTTAAGCCACCATTGTCACCTGGTTTCTTGGATTCGCACCCTTCAATCCACCGT